ATTTACAAATAGAAGGTGTAAAGGCCGAGATTGCAAGATGTTGCATAGTTGTGACAATGTTAGCGGTGTAGTTAGCAGAAAAGAGCAAAACGATACAGATCTAAGCAAAGCAAGGCGTAAAGCACTTTTTAATAGAACAATTTAGCCTCGATAATCAGCGTAGATGTTTGGGAGTAATGCGGTGAGAGTATATGTGTGGCGGTATGACGTACTTCGTGAAGACTTCTGCCTAAACCACATCATTACATCAGAGTGGAATAACTGTGATCACGGTGCTGCGTAATGCGACAATTCAAAATACTTTTACAGCACATTGGAGGGCCTGCTACATCACAAGAGGCAGGAGTGCAAATGCCAGTTATTTGAGTGTGGCTTTGCGTAAATAAGATTTTTATCCGAACTTGCTTTCGCTACCGTCAAAGCCGTACTAGTCGACTTGACCACTAGGACACAATACGTGAATTATGGGTACCCGTGTACTGGCACACTGAATTTGGCGCAGGAACAAGGGATTGTAAGACTGTGTGCGCTGGTTACTAAACCAAAAGGTGTCTGCGTTCGTGGGAGAACATCTGTTTTCGCGCGGAGTGGAGAATTCCTACATTGCTGCACAGTAAATAAAGCGATCCCGAATGTAAATCATTTTGATGATGCAGATTCCAAGTGATTTCTGATGGTTTTTAGGGGAGAAGCTAGTCCTTACGTCGCTCTTCTTCGTATGAGGAAGTTGCCACACACCGTTAATCGCTGCTGCGGGTTCCAACACAGAAGCTACGTGTGGTACCCGTGCGAGCGATTTGCGTGTGAGTGTGCCGAAGACACAGAAACGCCTCTCGATCAGAAACGCATCATTGCGCGAGTCGACACAGGCTAACAATGTGTGGCGTGACAAGGCGTGATTACATACGCTCAAAACATTGACATATTGTGTTAGTTAAAACATGGAGACACAAATCTAGATCGGAGGCAAGAGTCCCAACAAAAATTATCACCAGAAACGAAGCCAACCAGGTTTGGTGGTGTTGTGTTATAAACAAGACGCGAAATGAACTGAGGTTCGACAGTGACGGTTATTCAACTCGGCAATTTCGCTAATAAAGGCGATGACAACGAAGCGTCATCTGATAATTTGCCACTATGTTTTTAGCAAAAAAGGTCCATGTGACGAGTGACACAATTATGTAAAAAGAGACAAGAGGTAGTGGAGCAAGCACGCATCTACATAGATTACTACAGCGCAGTGACTATGCAAATTCGGTCACCACGCGCGGTAGTAAAAAAAAATTACGTTAAATGAAAACTTAGGGTGTGTGAAAGGAGTGAAGACAGTAATTTATTCGGTGACACTTTGGAATATCTACACACCGTGACAATCCTTCCGGTGCTAAGGCATTCAGGTCTGTAGCGTTTACAACATTTTCGTTGTGTTTTCTGGCAAATTTTGAGGGGGGGGAGCACAATATTGCAGCGGCGCATGATCACTCAATTCGACATTAGCCTATGTTAATAGAATAGATTATCAAACGTCGATTGAAGCATGACGAGGTGGCCTAAAAGTTACCAGGACGAGCAAAACGAGGGGCCAAATGCTCTTACGGATTGCCATTGATGTGTTTGGACCCAGTGTCTAGCGAACGGGTCTTTGATTTACTCTAGAAGTTGAACTTGGCAATAACGTACTCCTCGACGCGTGGAGACTATTAGCAACGATTTAGGAATGACGGGGGTGCGATAGTGTCGTGAGAACACGCTGTTTGAATTCGGCTACATGCACTTCGAAGAGGGATTTCCCGTGACAAGGCCGGTCTTGAACTAAACTTAAATGAAATCCACATAGATCAAGGCCAAGTAATGCTCTACAAACGTTTCCCCTACGGTGCTGCATTGCGTTCAGCCAGTACCTGCTTCCATCCAGGCCCCACTAAACTGCGTTTCATTCTTTTGTTTGGCCTTTGAGGCGAATCGTGTGCCACAAACTACCTCTGTCTCTATCCGAGGTGGACATTTATTTATGAATGGAATTAGTGCCTTGGTACGCCCATGAATCGGTTGTATGTACATACGAACTCTCGTTCGCGTGTGCGCGCTAGAAGGCCAGGCGAAATCGCACAAGCGCAGCTCTGACTAATCCGTCCCTCAAAGCGAGAGAGAGATGGCGCGAGAGCGAAAACACCCACGCACGCACGCACATGAAGCAATTGGTCGATGATTTGGCAGGCAGAAGGGCTAGCGCGTGCTTCTTATCCTGACGTCATCATTAGCGCCCAATGAAAATCCACGCTGAAAACAAACGGACCAATGGCTCGCGGCCTGTGTTTATGGAATGTGTGGCGGGGCTGCGTGCTTGCGCACGATGACTGCTACGCTTGCACACGTGCAGGCAGCAGTTCCAGGCTGATACAAGAAATGGTTGAATGTCCGTTGCTTTGGCGAGCCAGGCGCGAAATTGAGGTCAATGTAACTCAGTGTTCTATTGTGGAGAGACCATTCCCTACGGAAATCAAGCTTACAATTTCAAAGTTTGGAGATTGATGGCTTCCATCTCCCAAAAAGCTTAATAACCATCACTGATTGTAGTTGGTCGCTTTCATATACGCGGTTAGTAGTTTTTAACCGGAGGTCCAGCTAAATTGAGTAAAATTAAGCCGATGCTAATGCTGACGATGGCTAAGGACGTCCCATCTCTGTGTAGCTGTTGGTTCAATTATCACACACGAGTGATCATTCAGCGCACACAAAGAACTAGGATTTCTGGTTTACACAAGATAGGTAAACTCCAGTGGTGATAGTTTGGTGATGCACGCACTGCGTTACATTGCAGGCCTTGTCGCAATCGGTACCAGTTTTTGTTCCATAAAACTATGCAAGTGATGTTTCGATGTTAAAAGGCAAGAATCCTTAGGTATCAGTAGAAAAACTGCAAGAGAAGCTCGGTTGAAATATGCGATAAGTGGAGACCATGAGTGATTGAGTTGGGAGAGAATCTAACCGCATCTGACATTTGGCAAATTTAGCAGCTAGCTATCCGCCCATAGGCAGTAGAGATGACTCACGATGCAGTTGCTTGCCAATGTGAATCCCCAAGCAGGCAGCAGTAACCATCAGGTGAAGCTCAAGATTGCGGGGCATTTTCAAGCCAGAAAACACTGTGTCATGGTGTCGGTCGCTTTTTGTTCATGGTGGCGTTGAGGATCTTATTTTGCCACCTGAATATGCTAGAGTGGAACTGTTGAGCGTGTAGGTTTCTATAAAGCATTGTGTGAAGAATGGATAGCTGCGGTTTCGTGTTCTTCAAGGCAAGCCCATTTCAGGTTGTTGCGTGTCTGGTGGCGTAGGTGTGTGGATGGAGTAGGCAGTCAGGGTTGACTGCTTCTTTAAAGGTGCATCGTCAATGACCTGGTTTCTTGACCCTTGATTGGATTTTTCAAACAAAGGGGACCAGAACTTAGTTTGAGTAAAAAAAACAGGATTTCATTGAACTGGACCTTACTGTTTCGTGATATTAGTACAGAATAAGTTGGACAGGCATCTTGGGAAATCAATGTATCCTTGGTTCTATCACTTGTGCCAAATTATAAATCGTTAATTTAAAGCCTGAAATAAGCAGATTTACCGAGAATTAAGGTTACTAAAGCGCAATCAAATCCAACACGGATCACTAGGTGACAGTTATCGGTATATCCAGGCACGAAAACGAACAACTAGTACAACCTGTACTGACCCTTGATTATTGTTATTTTTGTGCATGAGTAAAACTAACATGAACCCGTATTGCAAGTCACTAAAGGTGCTGGAACTACTAAACCCACGTTACGATTTCGGATGCATGTAATCAAAATCATACTGCCGGAAATTCTTCTACACTTGCGAGTGGAAGTTTCCGACTTGGAGGGTCGTAAGGTGTGGCCGATGTTTCAACAAAGTAAGATCACTTAGACGCCTGCGGGGGACCACAGAAACACCAGTTTATTTCTTTAAAGTCCGCATTGCTTACTAGATTCCTGATTCACTTGACGTTTCGAAGTGCCAACTACTTTCGTATAGGCAAAACTGAAACCACTGCAAGTCAATGCTCACGGGAGAGAAAAGGTACTCAATTACTTACCACAGTGGCTTATGCAAGTCATGTGCGTACTACAACTGTTTCACTTGAGTGATCGTCAAATCAGTTTTAGGAAACCTTAACCCAGTACTAATCAGCACGATTCCACACGCCTCCGACGTTCATCGTTTTCATAAGACTTGGGGTTCACTACACCAGATACTTAAAGTAAACGAAAACCAGTAATTGAAGAACAAATAATAAACAAAAGTTGCTCGCCGCAGCGACTGAACCTCACGTTAGACAAAACCGCAGAGCCATTAGTTTCTAAAGTAATCTCAGCTCTAACAAAAGCAATTCGTCAGCCAGACCTCGGATGTTAATGCTAGGAAACGCACCGCAAAAACGTACAGGTTCATGAAAAGTCCGGAGAGAAAACGGCGGCAGACACCAATGCGAAGTGAGACGTTCCACGAAATCCGGGCCCGGAGACAAGTAACGACCCACAAAAAATAAAAGCCTTGAACGCAAAACCATCCCACATTGGGCAATACTGTCGCGAACATGTAGATGTCCACCCTCCCACCCGATCTAAATACGAGTAGCCACTCATCCCATGAAATACGACGTCGAGCCATTCTAACTTGAATCTGTTAACTCATTTCGACAATCTGATCACCCGTCGGCCAGTGAAGGATGCCCGGTGTATACGCCGTAGAAACCAAAGCCCGCCACCCGTAAAGTATTCTGGGCCACTCAGATTTAAGACGAACAATTTCAACGAAGAACTGCAACGAGGTACTCCACCCGGAAAAACACCGAACGCGGAAAACAAACTTGGCGATCAATAACTGAGCAGCTAGTGAATAAAGCGAAGTCTGCCTGGTTAGAAAGTTTATTTTTAATAACTGATCCGTCACAAATGAGTTCAACACTATAAACTCCAGCAACGTATGGCCTACTCAGCCTTCTGCGCTTCGGCAGCTTCGTTATCACCTTAAAACAAGTAAACCTTAATAAGGTATGCATACCGGCGTCGCTGTTCCACAGAGTTAGGTTATCGCGCAACAGCTGCATAATAAGAGTGGCATCTTTATAATTCTCTTCAGGCAAAGTGTCAATATCTGACACGGCTTCGTCAAAAGCATCCTTGGCAAGCTTGCATGCGCGATCAGGGCTGTTTAGAATTTCATAATAGAACACAGAGAAATTCAATGCCAATCCCAGGCGAATCGGGTGCGTAGTTGGCATTTCGACCTTAGCAATGTCCGTGGCAGTTTTGTAAGCCTGTAAGCTCTTCTCAGACGCGTCCTTGCGTTCATCACCAGTACGATATTCAGCAACGTAACGGTAATAATCACCCTTCCTAAAACAGATTACATTAATAAACAAAAGCAAACATTTTAAGGAAAAATATCTTCGACTCGGGGTTCGAAGCAGCCGGAATGAGAGTCGAATCGAGTAGCTCCAAAATCTCAGAGCATGTATCGTTAAGCTCTTTTTCGATATCTTCCCGGACCTTTTTAGCTATGGCCATTCTAGCGTCCCCTTCGTGTTTCTGTTCAATGCTGCTGATAACGCGCCATGAGCTTCGTCGAGCTCCAACAACGTTTTTGTAGGCAACAGAGAGCAAGTTCCTTTCCTCGGCAGAAAGATCCATATTAGGAACCAAAATACCCTTCATTGCCTCGACCATTTCTAAAGATAAAATACATGAAAAAACGTAGTTAGCACCTACTTTCATAACGTTCACTCTGTTCAAGCAGCTTCGCCGCGTAGACACATTCCTCCCGCTGGGTAAGAGAAGACATGACGGCAGAGCACTACGAAGAAATCGTGCGAAAACCACAATCAAAGATGAGTTCGGATCAGCAACAATTCAAACAAACTTAAAATTCAAATCAGAAATTTGTAATTTTTAGGTAATAGGCAAGAACACAAGGAATTAATATTTCACTATTTGACTTAAAAAATGTGTTAAAAAATTAATTATGAGCATTTATTTTTAATGAATAGCATTTGCTTCTATTTTTGAATTATTAATCGATTTTCGAAAATTTTGGCTTAAAGTAAATACCAATGCATGCTGCATGTGATACGAGCATTTTATAAGCATAAATTACAATTTCATTTAAAAGCAAAAAGGTCTTTTATTTTAGTGTAATTTCGCAGGAGGATAGCTAGAATATTGGCCTTCAAACTATTTCCTTGTCCTTTAAATTTCGTTCTAGTTCACTGAAACCCTCAGGTAACACAAGCCTGCCGTTAAAGCGGAAACAAATTTATTTTTGTTATTCTGAATGAAAATTTGATTTTAAAGATTTCAATCTTCATAAACCCCGATGTTACCAAAAAAACCGATGTTTAATTAAATTCTCACCAATTACTAAAATTCCCCCATAAAAGACACATGGTCATCTCCCAGAAACAAATAAAAATCGGCTAATGAACTTTTTGAGAGGGCCAGCCAAATTCCCCAATGACCGAATAGACACATCAGCTATTTTTAACGCCTTTAGTGACTGATATGCATTTCTGGTAAATGCCCACACCCTCTAATGCAGTAATTGGTCAATCTTCATGACGTTCACGCTCATTTGTAACTCTCTGGAAAACCACAAACGTAGTTGAGGCACAGGTCCACCTATGCTTTACTCTGCATCTCTCTCTCTCTCTCTGGGCTAGATATCAAATACTTTTAGCGTTTTGCGAATAAACGTTGCCAATGTGTTGATTGCAATAACGTGAAGCATGCTGTACCGATTCTGGAAAACTAAGAATTGCCTTTGGCTGCATGTGCGTTTCAGATAGGCTAGCATTTACAACCAGAATGTTCACTTCTGACAACTGTTCAGATTATTATCATTTCATAATCTGTGGACATTTCGCATCTAAATTATTTAATTTTATAGACAACCAGACTATAGAGCGCGTCTGCTTTCTCAAAATTAAGTCAGCCCAAAGGAAGGTGTGTATGAAATTAGCCACGATCTGCAGTATGCATGGTGTACATGAACCTCCTTATGATCCGTGAGAATCAGGCGGGTCTCTGGTGTCCTCCTCATTTAAATAACTCCATTTTTTAAAAAAACAACATTTATTGTGAATAAACGTAATTCCTAGGTCTGACATTGTAAAGCAAATAGCTCATAAGTGTGCAGTCATTTTTTAAACATCTGTAAAATTCGTGACAGTGAAGACTGATTGAATTTGACAAAATTCTGCACATGACTCATCTTTTCAATTGCGCATGATTTTCTGGTTTGGATTTTTTATACACTTTTTCTGTTAGGTAATGCACATGTCGATTTGTTTCTAGGCGGTGTTAAATTTTTCGTACGTGCTTCGAAGATTCAAGACTTAGCGAACACGAACTCGTTTTGTACAAAGTGTTTAAGAAGTGAAGATTTTGAACGCCTCACCGCAGGTACTATTAAACAGAAAAATATATGCTACACTGCATTAATGGCATGTAGAAGCGTGAAGATCATTCAATCAAGATGCCCTCCAAATCGTGTTTTTTGAACAATTGTTTCGTGGAAAAGAAATTTGATAATAATAAATTTAAAATATGGCATTACACTTTTTGTCATTGTTTTAAGTTTTGTTAACACTGAAGAATTTTATTTATTAATATTTCAATAGTTATCTTTAATCATTTTTATGACCTTGAAAATACAAATGAGTGTATTTCGGTGAGACGCGGCAGTGTGAATATTCTGTACTTTGGGATTGTGAACTTTTCAATTTTTTTGTGTGTTTAACGGTATAGCATTGCAGGCTAAATAGGCTGTTTTTGGTCTATGCACTCAATGTTGTATTGTCTGATTCTGATCAAATCGTCTTCTCCGGAAATTTTTTTTGAGTAAAATCCATTTCTTCTTTTACAATGGAATCTACTGATTATTGTGTGCCTAATAGTCAACATAGTGTTATTTCGACGGATTTGGATACTCGCGCACGGGACGTTACTAATCTGTGTGCTGCATGTGAGTTAAGAAACAGTGATTCATCTCGGTCGACTGGTGGTTTGCAGAAACTGAAACGCTGTTCCTCATTAGAAGACGATAATGAGGCCACCGTGTCCTCCGAAAACGTTAATTTTACAAAAAGCACGGGTGCTGATGATCTTGGGCTTCAGTTTGACCAAAACCCTCAAAACATTCACCCTGAACTACTTCAACAACTTATCCTCCAGACCTTGCCCGAAACACAGCCAACTAGTCATTCAGTGGGTCAAACACCCTTTGATTCACAGGAGCAGCCCCATCCTCACGTTTGGCGTGACCATTCTACTTCTAACGTGGGTGGTATTATTCGGTTTATCGTACCATTTGAGGCTACGATTAATCAAGATTTCCCGCAATCGGTTTTACTTACTCCATGCATGTCTGGTGGTACATATGGTATACCAATACAACCATTTGTCCTGTCAACTAAGCTCTTACATTTACCACAAGACAGGTCAAATATACTTAACGTTGATGATATCTCCCATGGAACCAACAGGGAAGCCAATACAGATCCGCAGATTTCCCCTCAACTGGCTCTAGACCAGAAAAATGCGATTTTGAATGAAATGGCCAAAACACCGCACCCAGGATTCATTCTACTTAGTATTCGACATGAAAAGAGAGGCAACGATCACAGTGCCAGCCCCGACTGTTGCGCATTCACACCGAACATCAAAATGAATTCCACGGCAACCAGAAAGTTCTCTCGACAGCGAAGTAGAAAGCCGACACCAGTTGGAGTAAATTCTGGAAATTCCCTATGTAGGAAGTTTGAAGTGACTACTGTAGAAACTAACGATGGTCCCCAGCTAGACCAAAAGCCATCACATTCTCCCCGTTCACGCTTTAGAGTTACTCGAATTGCTGATTCAAGCAGTTGGTGGATTCCAGACCGCACCGCAATGGTCATTTGTGTTCACGATCTCAAGACTTCAATGATACCAGATTTTGTCCAAATTCAGGCGCAAAAATTGAGTTCCCTTCAACCGAGCACAGAGTATTCATATGATGAACTGAAACACACCTTTTGGAACTGTCTAGAGCCAAAATATCTTCGAAGCTAATCACAAGATTGTCATTTGTACGTATTTATGTCTGTACGAAGGATTTGATTTTTTTAGTTTCCTCGTGACCATATGTTAAAGGCTGTTTAAGATAGATTAAATAAAAAAATTGAATTTTTTACCTAGCTATCGTGTTTTACTGAGTCCATTTATGTGCTGGAGGCACAAATGTTGGATTGATAAAATAAGACCGACAAAATATTGGTACTATCGTTTAAATTCACAGCTAACGGGCACCTTGACTTAAAGGGTTTTCAAAATCCGTGGACGTGTGAAAAAATTGCGCACCTATAGTGAGCTCTCCACGCGAATCGAGTGGTTCTTTACAAGGATCTTATCTACTTTGGTGGCATATGTGTTTTGCGGCCGCCATCAGCGAGCCGATTAGGAACTGTCATTTTATGCTTTGGTGAGGGAGATGGTTAGTGCCGGAATGCCTATTTAATATTTCATCTCCTTCAACTAACAAGTTTCAAGCGCATTGAAGACTTTTTCTATAGTAAAGACTTTTAAATATGTAGAGAAGTTAGCTAATCAGAGTAACTTAATGTGAAAGCAGATTTACCTCGAGGCAGTTTCTAATTACCGCCAAAGAATCGTGCCTACAAGTGTGGTTTGAGTCACGTTTCCCACACGTGTTTCATGTCCTTGACAAGTCACTGATCAAAACTTTTAGGAAACTTTGAAACCAATTTAATTTACCGACCCCTGTGTTGTTAGTAGTTTTATCATGTTTAATCAATGTGGGACGCAGCTGTCACTTCATTAGTCATGTTAGTGCACGTAAGGTGATGGAACTCGTAGTGCTTTTGCAGTTTAGAAAAGACTGTAAAATGAGGACAAACTCATTGTCCAGACAGTTAGTCCTTTAAATATGCTTTCTTGGGCAAAATGACGTGTACGAATAGGCACTGTGATGGTTGCTATGCGTGTTACCAAAGTGTGAACACATTCGATTGACATTTAAATTTCGGATTTAAAAGCTCCAGGTATAAGTTAAGAGACCTGTTTAGCATAAGCAGCTGGTTATTTGTGAGTTTCATGCTTTGAAATAAGCGAAACCCAAACTGCAGAGCCAGCACACCACAAATTGACGCGTAGGAACTGACAAGGGTTGGCGCCTCCGAATCATACATTAAGGCATGTCGATGACAGCTTGGCGAATTCTACTGTCATCACTGTCCTCAATTTGTTCCACTTGTAAATTACATCAAGAGGTTGCCTTAGGTACGCTCCAATTTGCCTCACAGAATGTGTGTTATAACTACAAGACTAATGTAAGGTGATTTGCGCTAAACCGATAAAAAAAATAGACAACGCGCTAGCAGAAGCAAACTTGTTTGATGATGATGATGATGTAAGCGCACAAACAGCTGGCACTTGTTTGACACCAAGTGCTTGAGATGAGATTGTCAATATCTTCAGTGAATGAGTAGTGCCGGAATTCGGAGGACACAACGCTTCTATATGCCATGAGTGCAGTGTAGCATAAATTTGCCTGTTTAATAGTACCTGCGATGAGGCGTTTGAAATTTTCACGACCTAAACACCCAGTGCAAAACGAGTTCGCGTTTGCTAAGTCTTGAATCTTCAAATCACATTCGACAAATTAAACCCAGACTAAAACCAAATCGACATATGCATTACCTAACAGCAAATTTGTATAAAAAATCCAAACCACGAGGCACGTGAGGAGTTTTGCCAAATTCAATCATTCTTAACCGACGTAAATTGGCTGATGTGTTTTTTTTTCGATCATTGTGTGTTTTTCAGGCTTGTGTAAGCGTATCTCGAGGTTGAGTGGGGTTGGTGCTGTCAATAAGTTTATTGGCCAAGTTGTGCTTATGTATGGGGGAGATCATCCCATGCCCTCAGACATTCATTCGAGCGTCTGTGTACTTGGCAGGTGCCAATCAGGTAAACCTATTAAGGCGTGTGTGCAGCGTGGGGGGTATACTGACACTATCAATTACCCAATTAGTATTTTTCTGTTTCTTTTTAAGGCCTGTCACTGGCTTTGCTGGTGCCTAATGCGACAGTGTAGAGAACCATCGGGAAGCTGGCGTTCGCTTCTCTTCGCTGGCCAGAAATCACTTTTGGTAAATGCATTTACGCAACGCCGTGCATTCCATTGTGTAGCTGGCGCGAATATGGGGTTATATTGTGCTGTGAGCAGAAGCCTCATGCTTCTAACTATGTCCTGGTGGGTGTTTCACTATTAATGTTCATTTATTGCACTTGTTTCTCTGGCTCATTTTAACTCCTTTACCGGCCTTCCTCACAGCATAACAAGGATCAATTAGGAGCGTAAATGAGAAGTGGAGGTGGTTCGTTTCATACCAAAGGGGCAAGAGTCAATCCAGTGTTCTAGGCGTTGGATTGGGTTCAGTTGCAACCCCAAATCGGGCAATATTGATTCTAATTTTGCATTTTTTCCGACAGCAGGAGGGTTTCACATCTTCATTGTACGAGAAACTAGAATGAAGTGGAAATATGGTGACCAGAACATGATGCTTCGTTGATCTTTTAGGAATTTCTGATGCCCTTTCTCAGCAAGCTTATAGTTTCTTCACGTCTGGTGTAAAAAATGCTTCAAGATATCGATTGTAATCATTGAAAGCAATGAAGAATAGTTCACCGTGAAAGACGCTGTTGGCTCCTCAGTTTTCTACTCAAAGTCGCCTGAAATACACATTTTAAACGGCAAACGTCTGCTGATAGATGGTGATGACATCGACTTGGCCGTTGATGGGATGCAACAGGTATTTTGCGCCTGGGGTTAGGGCCATAAGGACACACAAGTGGAATCACCAGGAATGTTCGCAGCCACTCCTTTCAAGTGGGGTTAAGCCGTGGTCACTCGATGATACCTGTTTCCACCTAACCCCTGCAACAGAGATGTTGCAGCTTGGTTTGTTGTCGAGCAATCGTAATATTCGCTCACTCATATTATGACAGGAATTTTGCTCTTTTAATATCTCACTCGTCGTGAGGTTTTGGCAGATTTGAAGTCGTGCCAAGGAACACAGGATGTGGTGTTCGTTCACTCAAATTGAACGATGGCTAATGATAAACAGCTGTAGGGGATAAAGTCACGTACCAGGCTCAGACAGGTAATTTTAATCAGGAACGAAAACGGTTGATGACTCCTCCCAGACCTGCTGAAATTTCTTTCCTTCTCGTGGCACAGTGCGTGTTCTGCATTAACCGTGTAGGTAGCAAAATTAAATTACTGACACACACTATAACAGCCACAAATGAAACTCTCGTTTTGATCTACACAGAGTACCTGCAGTTCACTTTTCCCCACATCGCTAGTCTGGCAGGAACCATATTGTTGGAGCAGTGGGGATACGGATGGAGCCAAAACAAAAGCATTTTGAAATGTCCCAAGTGCCAATTTTTTCCCCATTAAATCAGGAACTGGGAGACCTTAAACACTTGGCCAATTTTACGGCTTAACTGCACTAAGATAATTTTAGGACGCGAAACAAAGTCAGCATTCCGAAGGTACTGCTGCATTACGCCTGTTTGCAACTCTGCCATGCGTTTTCCTTGTGGAGAAATGGGAGTTCACCTTCGTTGGAGAAGCAGTTAGAATGTTATTTTTAGTCCTTTTCATTTTCCAGTTCGTTTTACTCCTAGGGAAATTCACAGTAGCTTGGACATGTGGATGTTCCTACTGAAATATGAGCAAATAACACTAGCCTATTTTTAGACTGTGGGGTGTAAGTTTTAAAATATCCATGCGTGTAGGTCAACACATCGAGAAGCGGAAATCGCTCCTTTGATAGCTGAAAATCTCTTTTTTAATCCAGATTCGCAAACTGGACTTGGCGAATTTTCGTCGCAGGCATTTCAAGCATTAGAAAACAAGTCTGTTTACATAAAAATGACACTATTTACACAATGTTAGCTTGTCGAGCTATTTACACGCTCATTATGTGGAAGACGCTAAACCTGCTGCAATTCGGGAGTTTACAGGCTTCACTGAATAACTGCTCGGCTTGGTTACTATGGCATGCGGTGCACCAAGACGGCTACGAATTCTTTTCATTCGTTATTAATGGGAAAAAAGGCAGTCAGTGTGTAACTCCTTCGTTATAGACGAAGTTGGTACTAAGGAAAGAAAGAAATTTGCTTTTTCTTGCTTCACTACAGCCTCATATTATTCACCGCACTAGTCAGGCGGGCTGCGATCACGCAGCCCCGTTGTTTCGTTCCGCCATCAGCGGCATTCTTTCCTTTCGCAACACGCTCTGCAAAAATTCCAGTCTTCGCTTGAAACATGGCCGCCGGCAGGTTTAAAAGGGTTGTAGTTACTTGGTTAGGCAACAAGGCAGTGAATTTGTTTAAACCAAAACAGTGAATTGCAGACTCAGTGACCTTGCATGCCTGTTGGCAACTTACGCATGCACGCATAAACACACATTTGGTGGAATTGGGGCATACCAGACATGCGCTGTACACACGCCACAATCCGTCCGCATCCCCTCATGTTCGCAGATCACATGATCGATCGCGCATGGATATCCTACCGGGAGCCACGAGAGTCGGGCACCAGGAATTGTCCTGATGGGATTCCCATCGAGCATACCTCCAGTTTACTAGGCGTATTGCTTAATTTTTACAGATTTGCTAGGAAATTTACAAAATATCCAAAAGTAGAGAACGAAGAATCAAATCTTGTAAATATGGTCTACCGTTTTCTATGCGCCTGTGCCATCCCTCAGGTAAGGTACGAATACCGTCGCGAAAGAAATTTGCAGGCTTCGAGACAGTAAATTAATCATCGTGGAATTTTCGCGCATCGTTCAGTGTTTTGAACTGCTTAGCCACTAAGGAGTGCTGCTGCATTAACCGGAACGAGTGGTAGTCGACTGGGGCCAAGTCTTGTGAATATGTCGCGTTCAAGTGGATCTTCTGAGTTGCGTGAGCCACGAAAGGTGGTCAAATGGTGTCATCTAGCAGCATTGTGGACTGCCTGCTTCCAGGCCCAG